ACTGATTTTTTCAGATTTACAAGCATCCACAGCCTTAAATCTCTGTTTTATCAGTTTCATGTGATACAGTTACCCTGATACAGTGGCTTAAAATCAAATCTGAGGCTGAGAAAAGCCAGGATGGAGAGAGAGAGTTATAACTGCTCCAAGCTCAGAGAAGGGCAGAGGAAAGGATCTTAGTGGGAGGTTAACTTAACAGGTAAGAAGCCTTGTCTAGGCACCGCAGCTCATGAATTATTGAACACAACTCCTGTGAAGTACTGTTTTGCTGCTCCAAATTCAAAATCTGTCATGCTGTCTTGCTAATCTTTTCATGTCTGAACTCCTAGGACCTCCGCTACAGTCACCCTCACCTCTGCATAATTGCCCCCTGCCAATCTCTCTGAACACACAACAAGTCATAGTCTACATGTTTTTCTGTCTCAGAGGCTGAAATCTTGCTTGTTCTGTGATGCAGTGAACTACAGGTGATACAGGGCTCTGGGGTGTGGCTAGCATCAAAGTACTTTTAAAGGTCCTTTAAAAGAAGGAATTTTAAAGGTCTTTAACTCATCTCCCTGGCCCCATGCTGGCCTGACCTCCATTCACATCAGAAGGAAAACTATCCACCCTTTTCTTAAAACTTCCTAGTAGAGGTCTCTGGATATAGCCTGCTTAGTCTCTCTGTTTTCAGATTTTATCCTAACCCCCTCCCCTGCCCTAACCCTTCACAACAAATATTACCATTTGTCTCTCACTGACCCTCCTGCTAGCCTTCTGAGCCCCAGTGCTTTTGGGGACTTCCTCCCTATGATTCAACTTCATAGGACCTCAGAGTTTACACCCAAACTAGCTGTGCCTCTGGAGAGAGTCAACAATAGCCTCAGAAACTTCACCAGGTCCTGATACAGCACTGCTGCTTAAATGTCATACTTGGTTTATCCCCCGAATCTCTGACCTGCTAAGCCTCTGGGAAACTCTTCTGTTGCCTCTCTCCAAGTAGGTTCTGCTTTGAGTCGACACAAGAGGTGATTATTTTTTCAGTTTTAAATCGGCCCCTTTAATTTGTCTACATTATTCTTAGTCATGGTGAAATTGATGGGAGCAGGCAGGGAGGCTGCTATTTGAAGGCTCTCAGAGAAAGTGGTTTTTTTGTGTTACCTGAGCCCATGTTGGGGGAAACAGTTAGTAGCCATCCCGTCTGAAGTTTACCTATTGTGAATTTTGGTGTTAGAATCAAAACCTGGCCAGTGAGTATGTCCTCACATGAAATGCCTGTACTTTCTGTGCCCTGCAGTAGAAGGAACTGACAAAATTGGAAATTTAGTATGATACACTCCCGAGCCAGCGCCCTACGTTGAGGTCACCAATACCTTAGGCCCTGGGGAAGGTGTGAGGCAGAGCACTCCAAGTCCGCCTCCTCTGCACCCCTCAAATGACAGGACTGCAGCCATCACCTCTTCTACTAGCCATGGGCCTGGGCTGGGACGCACAACCGAGGGAGAAGTGAGAAACAAAGAAAGAACGTACTGGGAAACCTGAGTCTATCTAGGCATAGAGAAGCAAAAGAGGAGGGTTTACGACAGAATGGCCATCGTGGTTAGCCTGAATATGCACAGTATTGTCAGCTTATCTCCTTAATTCAAGTTCAGCTGACCCTATGTATAGATAACTTTCTATTAAGCAGCCTTCTCAATTTGTAGGCACCCCCAAACATTGCATTATAAGCTTCTCAGTATATTGCATTGATTCCTCTGTCTTTTCAGGACTCCTGAGCACCCCGTGGCAAACTCAATTCCTAGAATTTGTAAGACAGATTGTGTGCTTGAGGTGGGGAGTGAAAGAAAACAGTGTCTTTGATTACGCGAAATACTTTCTTTCTAGTGCCTAATATAAAACCTTAATCCCAAACTTCTAGATGCTATGTCTGGTCAGAAATGTCAATGAAACTATTCGCCTGTGGTACCCATTTCTATATGATTGTAATGAAAGGTGCAACTATCTGTATCCATAATATTAATAGCCACACTATGTACTCTCTGTGAACAAGGCAGGAGCAAACCAATATTTCCATTAATTCCACTTTTAGAATTATCAAAAATACATGTACAGCTAAATCTTGGTAAAAATTACTTTCCCTAGGGAAAATAACCCCTCTTTATTGACTGTGAAATCACTTTAGTATTGAACTCATATCTAATGTCCATTTCCCATCTGCTTTTTCAAAACAGAATAAAATAGTCAAGACAGAGGGCATAAGCGATGCAGCATAAAATATATTCAGTTCAGGCTTCTGGGTAAGATAGCAGATTGAACACAGCGCTTCCTGCTCTCCCTTGAGAAATCCCACTAAAATGACAGTAAATGAGTTTGTCCGCAAGGACACAGGGAATAGGAAGAGCCAACAGCCACAAAATGTTAGAGGCCAGAAAACAGAAGACGTGGTAACTGACTTGGTCGACTCAGGAAAGCTGCATCCTGAACTAGTTGGGGGGGGGGTGCCAAGCCGCAAGCCAGTTTACATGGCAGGACCTCCCAAAGGCTTGGGAACTGGCTACAGATGGGAGCTGTATAAATGACGGTGAGGCTAAACACAGAAGGGTTGGCTGAAAGGTTGCTGAAGCAGTTAGATCCTCAGATCTCTGCCCGACTCTATACAGGTGGGCAGGTATCCCTCCCTTATTCTAGGGTAGGCCTAGAGGTTTCTTCTCTGGAGAGGCTGAAACTAAAGGCCTCTGGACTGGGAGACACAAGACACACATGAGGAGGACACCCTACTAAAACACATGAATGCTGAGGACCAGCCCCAGAGGGCTGGCAACCTGGATGGAGGCTGGGAGATCCTTTCCTGGGGAATCTTCACATCCCAAGAGAAAACCCCCAAAGACACAGACAGCAAGGGTTCCCCGGGAGTGGCCCAGCCAGCCAACAGTGAGAACCGCAGTCAGCAAGTCAACCCAGGGGCCCACTTTCCAATCAGCTTTTGAGTTTTCAACCAGTTTCCACTTTTAAATATAAGCCAACAAACAACCCGGGATCATCAGATATCTGAGGGAAACCTCAAATGTGAAAGACAATATAAAAACAAAGAGAAAAAAACAACTTAAAGAAAACAGACTTTGTTTACTAAGGGGAAAAAGTCTTTTAAAACTCTAATATCCTACTTATAAAAATAACTAAAACTAATATCTTTGAAAAGATAACAAGATATTTTATTCATGTAACAAGAACATTATGCTAAAATTAAAGAAATAGTCAGAGAACATAAAAGATCACTTGGAAATTACAGCAGTGACATAAGATAGTTTTCATAGAAAGGTTAAAAGATCAAGTTGAGAATGTCACCCAGAAAATAGAGAAAAAGACAAAGATGGAAAATAGGACAGAAAAGCTAGAAAGTTAGAAGGCAGGTCTAGGTGACCCACTATCCAAATAACAGGAGCTCTAAGAAAAAAAGAAAGAAGAAAGTCATCAATGAAATAATTGAAGCACATCTCTCGAAACTGAGTGACATGGAATTTGCGGGTTAAAAGTGTCCATCAAATGTCTAACACTGTGAATGAGAACAGAGCCACACCAAGCCTGTCATCATGACATTTCAGCACACTTGGAACAATGTGCTACTACAGGTTCTCAAAATACTGAGGCACAGAACAGCTTCATACAAGGCTCAGACATCTTAACTTTCTATTAAGAAATGTTATCATACATTTTCTCAGGCTTCAAAAAGAATACTACTTTCAGGGCTGCCCCAGTGTCTGAACTTGAAACATGCATACCTTTCTGCATCACTGAAGACAGTTGGTGAACACAATGAGTGAGACTTGCAGAACACTTAAAAATAAAGGGTGACTTATGTAAGGTTGTGAGATATGAGGTTATTGTAATGAAAAGATGCAATGCATCCCACTAGTGATCAAATACTTCTGAGTTTAATTATTGTTCATTAGTTTATACCCAGTCTTGTTTCAAAAAGGATTTTAGGAAGCCTATAAAAGTATAGCAAACATAACATTAAATTACATGTAAACTAAATTACAGCTTGGCCAAAGAAGATAGAAAATCAAAGATGGGACAAAGGAGCCAAGAAAATGATTTAAAATATGTGCAATTATAGCCTGACATTGGTTACAAATTTATCTCTCAACTCTGTGTCCATTGGTATTAGATTCAGCTACAAGTAACAGAGAGACTCAACATATGGGTGGTTTATATAAGATACTCCATGAGTTTATTTCTCTCAAACATAACAGTTCAGAGATGCACAGCCCAGGTCTGCTATAGGAGCTCAGCTGCACTGGTCCTCAGGACCCAGGGTCCCTCCAGCTCACCCTTCTGACTTCCCAGTGTAGAACGTAACCCCATAGTCTAAAGTGACAGCATTCCTATTCTGGGCAGCAGAATGGAGCAAAAGAAAGAAAGAGCAAAGGCCACCTGCCAATAATGTTTCCTAAGAAACATTCCCAGAAATTGCTGCCAAATAATTCCACTTCCATCTCATTGTCTAGAACTTAGTGAAGAAGCCACTCCTAGCTGCAAGGGAAGCTGCATAAAGCAGTCATCACTCTGGGCAGAAATAAGTCCTACTACAAGTTCTATTAATATGAACAAAGGGAAGGGATGGATCTGAAGGACAATGTCTGCTGGGATTTCATAGCAACTGAAAGAAGAAAGGCAACATGATCAGGTTCAAAATAACAGAGATGGGAAAGAGGACCAACTGCCCAAGAGACTTACAGCAGCTTTTAGTAAAAGGATCAAAAAGGGATGACTCTGGAGGTCTTTATAAAAAGAAAAGATTTGATCTTATCACATCCATGCAATCCATTTTATAGGACTGGTCTCTTGCAACAACTCTTGCATTGACAGCTTAGAGAAAACAAAATCAAGGTGTTTACAGAGATTTGATTTTCTGAGTTCATTTTCACCACATTTTTAAAAATGATAATAAGAACATATTTGTTTGAACTTTATCATGGGAATGTCCTGACATTAAATATGCACATATATATTTGTTTCAGAATTAAAGAAAAGTCCATTTACCTTCGTTTACGGAAAAGAAACCTCTGCAACCACAGAGATTACCAGAATATTTCAAAAAATGGTATGTAACATCACCAATGTGCCTTTAATGATTGGTTTTCTTTTGTAAGAGAATTAGCTAACAAAGACCACAGGATAAAATAAACAGTCTCCCTTTCCAATGCCACTGCCCTTTCTGAGAGAGGGGCCCTGGGCTTAGTACCTTTTCCCCACAGCAAAAGAGAATGAGAATAAGATACAGTCAAGGCACAGATGAATGGGCAGGTCAGCCATCCATCAGCAAGGCCGTAGAAAGTCAAAGGTGCCAGGCATTCAAGGCTCAGGAGGCAAGACCTAAGTGATCACTAGCAGAACAAGAACTGAGCAAAATCAAGGTCATTGCAAAGACTCTGCCCTCCTCTCTGGTGTGAAGTCTGCCACATTTCTACTGGGGCTGGAATTTTTAAAAAATTGCAAATTGTCTATGGCTGAAATCCCCAAAGCCACTAAGGAAAGGAATGTGTTTTCAGAGTGTTGTGGAGAGCTGCAGGTCTTCACCAGCTTCCTGTGTTTCCCAGGATGGCTGTGTCTTCTGGGCTGGCTTCTCACCTGGGTGGTTCTCACCCCTCACCTTGGACCCACATTCAGTTCATTGCCACCAGATGTTGGTGAAACTCCTGATTGATAAACCATGGCCTGGCTAGTGTCTAATGAATTGCCAAGTAATGTCTTGTGACTGTAACGTAGAGAGGGCAGACTCTGAGTGTGTGTGTCACCGCTCCATCTTCCTAAGCCCGCAGAAGACATTACTAATCAACCTTGGCAGTTCTTGCCCTGCTACACGCAGATTCCGCCTCAGCGATTCTCACAGCACAGCACGTCTGACAATCACCATCGACAGATTAGGCTTGGCACATAAAGCAAGAGCTATTTGCCACCCCTGGGCCATCTCTAATTAACAAGAGTGTTAAGGAATTTTCCAGGCAGTACAACTTTTAACTAAATATATGACCTACAAGTGATTTCTTACATAGCCTACACAGACTAGGTGTTCTATTCTAAGAACAACATAGTTTTGTCACTAATAAAATAATAGCTGATATTTCCTGATCTCTAAGGATACTTTATGTATAACATTTCAGCTAATCTTTTCAATAAACTGTAAGGCAAGTATTATTATATTTCTTCAATTTGAAGATACCATGGATGGTAATAGCTCTGAAGAGTGTCAAGGGAGGAAAAATTACAGTGTACACATTAACTGCATTACTCCACCCAGTGTTAAATTTGTTAAACTGTATTTCTCAAAGTTGAGGAAGTATAAATGAATCCACACTGTTAGAGTTGAGAAAACAGAAGCACAGAGAGACCAAGAAACGGGTTCCGGGTCAGAGCCAGTACGTTGCAAGAGCTGGGTTTTGTACCCAGCTTGTCTCACTCCACTCAGATACCAACAGCGCTAATGCAGTCACTGGTCTATGACCCGAGATCATCTACAGAAAGAGTCTGGCCTCACCTCTCTGCATATGAACACAACCAACGGTTTATTGGAAAGTTATCATCGAGCTGGCCATGAACCATCATAGACACAAAGTAAATATCCGTCCCCTGTTCGCTTTCTCTTTCCCTTTTCTGAGCTATTCAGACATCACTATGCTGTCAAATGCTGTCTGTCAGTGTAGACTGTAAAAACAATGAACAAAATGCTCGTGTGGAATATTATACAGCTCTACAAAATGATGGTGAAAAGTTCATATCTTTTTGTTGAGAAACACAAAACACTGCCAAAAGAAAAATCAGCACATAAAATTGGATAGTATAGTTTAATTTCTACTGCATTTTTTAAAATAGAAGAGAAAAAAAACAGCTGTGCATAAGAAAACATACCAAAATAATTATGTGTGATAAATTATGGGTGCCTGCTTTTTGGTTGTTGGGGTTTTTTTCTTCTTTTCTGTTTCACAAAGACTTTGTTTTATATATAAATATCCTTTGAAAAACATCCTAGAGGGGCCGGCCGAGTGGCTCAGTTGGTTAAGAGCTCACTCAAGAGTGTGGGCTCTGAGCTACAGGGTCGCCGGTTTGATTCCCAGCCCGAGCTGAGCTGCTGCTGAGCTGCCAACAGGTGGCAGGATGGCTCAGCTAAAAAAACAAAACAAAACAAAAAAACCCTAGAAAGAAGCTGAGTCTAGGACCAGTGAAGGGCCTGTCAGAGGTCCAAAAGCCAAGGGTACGGGGTTTGGGTGAGGTATAGCATAGGGTCCAGCCAGAAGGGCCAGCAGTGAGCTGCCCTCTCTCCATGTGCCCAGGACACTAGCATTTCTCTCTTCACAAGACCCAGACATGTCAACCCAACATCCCTTTCTACCCACAACAAAGACAGTGATCTTTTGTAAAATCAAAAAGACTAAAGTAAGACACTGCAAAGAGTACTTGGTACACTTGATAGCAGACGTTTCTCCTTTTGTGGCATGCTATCTTGACAGCATTCCTTTAAAATTCACACTGCGGAGATAAAAAGAGGAAAAAAAGAAAAAGGAGATGGGAGGAGAGCCTAATCGTGAAAAACGATGCAAGTCAAAATTTTATCAAAACTGTGGCTTCTGTCAGACTTTTGTCTAATTGAATAGGTGTCAGGAGGGCGGGAGAGATTAGTTGCTTCTTTTTCTTTAAATGTGCAATCCTTAGAAATACAGAGTGTGTATACTTTGTCTAGATAACTTCTCTAAAGATGCAGCTTGGCTATTTTTCTAAGAATGTAATTCTAAGAGGACTTTCTTTTTTAGTTTCTCATTATTTAACGTTCCGGTTTGATTCTCCAGTCCCCTTTCCTGTTCTCTGTTGCTTCTCCCCACCATGGATTTCCTCTCGATATTATGCAGCATGTAACCCGACTACCCTGCACCGAGCAATTTCAATCACTCCCCAAGGTTTTTATTAGACATAGGAAAAGTCAGCTTTCTACATCCTGCATATTTATGACTCCACTCATTTTTCAGAACCAGCGAGAGAAATAGGAGGAAGGGAAGAAAGAGTCGAATGGAATATTAAAGCATTTCTTTAAAATTATATAGTAAGAATTAAAGAAACAGGTCTTATTTTCGCCTTGACATTTAGGTATGAGATCTCAAAAATTTCTATAGATACCTCTACCGTGAACCATTACCAGTGATTACAAAGCATTTTAAAAATGTAAAAGTCCAAGTGACCTTTAATTTGGGTACTAATCTCTGGAATGGGGATGAGGCACAGCACACTTCCCTCTAAATCCTTACAATCCACAAACAAAGGGTTTGCAGCATTCTCACAACTTCTGACTCGCCAAGACAGCAGCTGGGGGGTGGAAGCCAGTACATTGAAGGGGGAAGGGTCCAAACCAGCTCCTCAGGGAACATCACCTTACTTCTCACAGGTGCAAAGTGAGGCCCGGAGAACAGGCGCAGAGGCATTCTCTTATTACCCCTTCATAAAATCTTCTCCTTTTTGCAGCATAAATAGCGGACTGGTTTTGAATTTGGGTCCTGGAATTGGTGTGCAACTTTGACAAATCATTTAATTTCTCTGGCCTGTATCTGCTTCTATAAACTAGGGATCACGGTTCAATGAGCACAGTTGCCAGAGGTGACCCCAGGTTTCATTCTGGGTTGCCTAGACAACAAGCCAGCTCCGACGGACCATCTTCACTCCATCCTGACGTGGGAGAAGCTGCACCAGAACTCAGTGGGATGATGGGGTTCAGGGATCAAGTCCAGCCTTGCAAGTTTACCCTTTCCCCAATAAGCCAATTCCTTAAACGATGTCACATGACACCGGAATTCATCAGAAAACCCAGATGGGGCCCACTTTACACAGTGGGGGACTAACAGTCCAGACCTGAAGCGCGTGGGGCGGTGGTGAGGTTGAATGGGGCAACGTAGTGCTCCTTACGTGTCCATCCTCACTGCTAACTCCCCCGACTGCCTGTCCTATTATTTACTCAGCATTTTAATAATTGGTCAGTTTTTCAACATAGTTTTTGGGGTTTTTCTCAAAAAACAAGAGGATTTGAAAAAATAAATTTAGAAGACACATGTCCATGTTAGGAAGGCCTTGTGGCACCCAGAGTTCGAGGATGGAAAGAGGGGCATCTAGGGTTGGACCGCCAGACCTTGGGGACAGTAGCAGGCAGGAAGGTAATGGGCGTGGACGAGGGGCCACCAGCCCGACCTGGAGAACTTGGCAGAAAGAAGAGAGCACCTTTCTGGGGGGCGGGGAACTGGGCTAGGGACAGGAGTCAAAAGTGATGGGAACAGGTAGATGGCAGGTCTGAGACTCACAGAGGGAGCTCGGGCAAGGGATGGGAAAGCAGAGGGAGCCCTGGGGAATGGCAGATGGGGGCAGCCTGGGGAATGGGCTCCGGGCACCCCTGTGAGGAAAAGGGGAGGGCGGGATAAAGGCTGAGGGGTGTGAGAGCTGAAGATGGGCCAGCAGAGGACCCCAGAAGGCCAGGGGGGCAGATGGTAAATGCTGTGGGGTGGGAGGCGCTCTTAGAGAACAAGCCTTTGCTGGTTGAGCTGTGAGCTCTAGAACATGCTGGAAGGAGTAGCAGCAGATAAGAGGCTTCACCTTCTCTCTAGATGATGAGCACCCCTTAGAAACTAGACCTGTCAGCCTAGAGGCCAGGGAGTAGGAGGTGGCAAGGACAGTGAGGCAAAGCTGGGCCCCCAAACCATCTCCTATGTCCAAGCTGTGCGTTCCATGCCTCGGGGCCACAGGCTCAGTGAGGACTCAGTGAATATTAGCTTGTGTTCAGCCCTCACTGTCCTTGCCTGACCTCATTCTCCCTCATTCACCCCATCACCCCCGCCCTCCGGTCCTGCCTCTCCTACTGCACCATCCTCGGCTGCTAGCTGAGCTGTTTGCTGTAAGTCTGGCTCCCAGTCTGACAATGAGCCATGGGGGCGGCGGCCGTATTCATACTCCTGGCCCTGAGCTCAACGGCTGCTGCACTTGTCAACCCGACGGACTTTTTTTAACTAATGACTCTAGAGTTACATTTAACCTTTGAAAGGAAGAAAAGTGCACACACGGTAACCCTTTGCC